ATCTCAAAGTAACTTTTCAAATCTCAACTAAATTAAATTATTGGCTGCTAGGAACTAGAAATAAATATACTGGAATACTGTGTTTCCCTGAAGAGGTCTAATTCTAATTGGAACCATCAAGGGGAACTAAATTAAATTATTGGCTGCTAGGAACTAGAAATAAATATACTGGAATACTGTGTTTCCCTGAAGAGGTCTAATTCTAATTGGAACCATCAAGGGGAACTAAATTAAATTATTGGCTGCTAGGAACTAGAAATAAATATACTGGAATACTGTGTTTCCCTGAAGAGGTCTAATTCTAATTGGAACCATCAAGGGGAACTAAATTAAATTATTGGCTGCTAGGAACTAGAAATAAATATACTGGAATACTGTGTTTCCCTGAAGAGGTCTAATTCTAATTAGAACCATCTAGGGGAACTAAATTAAATAATTAGATGCCAGGAACTAGAAATAAATATACTGGAATACTGTGTTTCCCTGAAGAGGTCTAATTCTAATTGGAACCATCAAGGGGAACTAAATTAAATTATTGGCTGCTAGGAACTAGAAATAAATATACAGATACTGGAATACTGTGTTTCCCTGAAGAGGTCTAATTCTAATTGGAACCATCAAGGGGAACTAAATTAAATTATTGGCTGCCAGGAACTAGAAATAAATATACTGGAATACTGTGTTTCCCTGAATAGGTCTAATTCTAATTGGAACCATCAAGGGGAACTAAATTAAATTATTGGCTGCTAGGAACTAGAAATAAATATACTGGAATACTGTGTTTCCCTGAATAGGTCTAATTCTAATTGGAACCATCAAGGGGAACTAAATTAAATTATTGGCTGCCAGGAACTAGAAATAAATATACTGGAATACTGTGTTTCCCTGAATAGGTCTAATTCTAATTGGAACCATCAAGGGGAACTAAATTAAATTATTGGCTGCTAGGAACTAGAAATAAATATACTGGAATACTGTGTTTCCCTGAAGAGGTCTAATTCTAATTAGAACCATCTAGGGGAACTAAATTAAATAATTAGATGCCAGGAACTAGAAATAAATATACTGGAATACTGTGTTTCCCTGAAGAGGTCTAATTCTAATTAGAACCATCTAGGGGAACTAAATTAAATAATTAGATGCCAGGAACTAGAAATAAATATACTGGAATACTGTGTTTCCCTGAAGAGGTCTAATTCTAATTGGAACCATCAAGGGGAACTAAATTAAATTATTGGCTGCTAGGAACTAGAAATAAATATACAGATACTGGAATACTGTGTTTCCCTGAAGAGGTCTAATTCTAATTGGAACCATCAAGGGGAACTAAATTAAATTATTGGCTGCCAGAAACTAGAAATAAATATACTGGAATACTGTGTTTCCCTGAATAGGTCTAATTCTAATTGGAACCATCAAGGGGAACTAAATTAAATTATTGGCTGCTAGGAACTAGAAATAAATATACTGGAATATTGTGTTTCCCTGAATAGGTCTAATTCTAATTGGAACCATCAAGGGGAACTAAATTAAATTATTGGCTGCCAGGAACTAGAAATAAATATACTGGAATACTGTGTTTCCCTGAATAGGTCTAATTCTAATTGGAACCATCAAGGGGAACTAAATTAAATTATTGGCTGCTAGGAACTAGAAATAAATATACTGGAATACTGTGTTTCCCTGAAGAGGTCTAATTCTAATTAGAACCATCTAGGGGAACTAAATTAAATAATTAGATGCCAGGAACTAGAAATAAATATACTGGAATACTGTGTTTCCCTGAAGAGGTCTAATTCTAATTGGAACCATCAAGGGGAACTAAATTAAATTATTGGCTGCTAGGAACTAGAAATAAATATACTGGAATACTGTGTTTCCCTGAAGAGGTCTAATTCTAATTGGAACCATCAAGGGGAACTAAATTAAATTATTGGCTGCTAGGAACTAGAAATAAATATACTGGAATACTGTGTTTCCCTGAAGAGGTCTAATTCTAATTGGAACCATCAAGGGGAACTAAATTAAATTATTGGCTGCTAGGAACTAGAAATAAATATACTGGAATACTGTGTTTCCCTGAAGAGGTCTAATTCTAATTGGAACCATCAAGGGGAACTAAATTAAATTATTGGCTGCTAGGAACTAGAAATAAATATACTGGAATACTGTGTTTCCCTGAAGAGGTCTAATTCTAATTCGAACCATCTAGGGGAACTAAATTAAATAATTAGATGCCAGGAACTAGAAATAAATATACTGGAATACTGTGTTTCCCTGAAGAGGTCTAATTCTAATTGGAACCATCAAGGGGAACTAAATTAAATTATTGGCTGCTAGGAACTAGAAATAAATATACAGATACTGGAATACTGTGTTTCCCTGAAGAGGTCTAATTCTAATTGGAACCATCAAGGGGAACTAAATTAAATTATTGGCTGCCAGAAACTAGAAATAAATATACTGGAATACTGTGTTTCCCTGAATAGGTCTAATTCTAATTGGAACCATCAAGGGGAACTAAATTAAATTATTGGCTGCTAGGAACTAGAAATAAATATACTGGAATATTGTGTTTCCCTGAATAGGTCTAATTCTAATTGGAACCATCAAGGGGAACTAAATTAAATTATTGGCTGCCAGGAACTAGAAATAAATATACTGGAATACTGTGTTTCCCTGAATAGGTCTAATTCTAATTGGAACCATCAAGGGGAACTAAATTAAATTATTGGCTGCTAGGAACTAGAAATAAATATACTTGAATACTGTGTTTCCCTGAATAGGTCTAATTCTAATTGGAACCATCAAGGGGAACTAAATTAAATTATTGGCTGCCAGTTTCACGTTGAAATTGCTTCGTTAATCAGCAGTCTTCCTTGGTTACCTTCTCAATGAAACAAGAAATTCAATGAAACAAGAAATTTAATTTTAGCACATTTTACAGAATAAAAGATGTAAAACAATTCATAAAATATAATGCCCATTTGGTGTATGACTTTTTGTCCTTGACTGCTTGTTTGGTTTTGGAAGGACAGGTAACTAACGGGGCAAGGAATGCGCGTGCCTGGGAGCTTTTGCACACACCAAAACGCTAGTTCAGTTAAGTTTTTAGAGACAAGGCTCACATTAGGACTATACGAAAAATTGTTAGCAGACATTAGGGGTTCTGTTTAAAGTTTTTACTATATAGGTTGCAGTCTTGTTGTGACAAAAAGTCTACACTAAAACATGCTTGATTTTATATTGTGTAGTTCAAGGATTAAAAATGCACCTTCAAGGTTGATATTGGAGAGCAGGCGAAAGATTATGGCTTAAATTTATCAATGGTTATAATAAGCTATAAATATTTTAAACTATACAATGCTAATTAAAAATTTCTTTATACTTCATTCTCAAATTAAAATTTAAAAATTCAAAAATATACATTCATTTTATTAAAACTTTCTCACACATACTTTACTCACAGGACAAGACTTGGAAAACAGTAGCCTAGGGTAATTTAATTTAGATGTGTGTGACCAGCCAGTTATAATGTTTGGAAAATAATATTTGTGCAGTCAAAGTCTTTTACGGTCCAATCTACTGTGTAATGCAGCTACGATCAACGATACTTAGCTAGTACATTCATAGTAACTGCACTGAGAAGAGTAAAAAATTTGAGCTTTGACGGAATAACATTTCCTTGTTTATAGATACGGTTACTATTCTAGTGAGGGGTTCATAGCTGACCATTAAGGTCTTACTCACAATAATTTGTGCTCTGATATTGGCCGTACTGACTGCTGTTGAAAAAGCCACGCCATCAGATGCGCGTCACGAGAGTCCACCCCAGTAGACCCCACTACGTACAAAATTTGAAATTTTCCCAAAAACTTCTGATTAAGCTAGTTTGTTTTCAATAACTTTTGCAATATTAACAGTAGACCTTTCAAATTTTCACCAAATGTTTCCCTAGACACTAGTTCATCGTAACTGTGTCATAAAATTTTAATTTAGGGACCCAATTTTGTGCAAGACTCCGGTATCTGACGACCGGTCGCGGACGTGGTTATTGTAATGTCAACTTCTGTTGCACACTGAGCGAGCTATATTTTGAGAACAAAGATAAACTTTACACCAGGTGAAAGCTGAGACGTTTCTCTTTAAGATGATCACCTCACATTCTGTGTATCTGTGACATTGAGATAGTAACGATTCAAAACTTCAAGTTGAACAGGCTACAAAATACGCGCTGAATAAAAGTCCACCCCACGCGCGTAGGGTGTTAAGGTCGAAATGCGATTCTACGTTGATTCTGAAAATGTCATGTAAAAATATTGAAAAAAAATCTTTTTTGCAAATATTGCGAACTGAGATATAGACGCGATTTTGTTCATTTTTTGTGATTATTTGAACACAGAATCCACAGTTAGGTAGATAATGAGCTGATACTCATAGAGAATGTGTAGTATAGGCTTACCTTCTATATAAAGTTGGTTTTATTCAAAAATATTGATATTTGACTAATTTATGGACCAAAATCGATCAAATTTTGTGCGTATGCCCAAATATGGTCATATGGTTTTTGGCTCATAACTCTGTCATTTTTGGTCCAATCTTGATGAAAATTCATATACGAGTTCAGGGGACTACAAGCTACAAGTAGAGCACCTAAAAGCTGGGTTTTGGGCATGTTCAGGGTATTTGGCTAAATTGGGCCTAATTTGGACCAAATATGGGCGTGGCTGCCCCGCGGGCACCGTTTGGCGGTTGGGGTCGGGGACCCCCTCAAAAGTTCGGTCACCAGTCCTAGTTTGTTGGTCAACTGCTATCTCGAAACAAAGTTTCACAAAAAAATCAGGGCGAACCCCCCCCCCCCCCCCTTAAACAAAAGGAGGGGGGTCTGGAAGATGCTGACGTCATTGGGGAGGAGGGTGATAAAATTGGCCAAAATCTTGCTGATGTCATATGTGAACGTTCCCTTGCCGTGAAAATCGAAAAGAAATGATACAGTGGCATTAGAAGAAAAAGTCAGAAAAACACTAACAATAATCATGAACAATTATAAGCTTCATCACATATCACTACTAAAATTTTCAAATTGAAAATTGACGTTTAATTGAGGCAACTAACAACTGACTAAGATTCTTTTAGTTTTATAAATCAATTCCATATTAAGTTTGAAAAGTAAAACCCTAAGCATCCAATACCTTTCGTTATTACTACTTTACTACTGACGAAGTGCATCTAATGATACACCCAGAACTTAGATAATACAATATATCATGCTACTAGTACTACTAAAGATACAGTAGTTTTAATAAACCATTTTAAACTTATCAATAATATTGAAAGATAAAGAAAAAAAACAACATAAATTTAAAACACATATTTGGCATACCTAAAACACATATTTGGCAAGTCTAGCTGCCCTACAAATAATATCGGGTATTACAGAAGAAATACAGTTGAAAGTTTACAGAAATACAAATGACAGAGCAAGTCTTGTCAAGTTCGAAGCTTGCACTTTTACTCATGAAAAATCGCACGTGCTACGCTAACTTGCACGTGCAAGTGAGTACAGCACGTGCAATCTACAAGTTCGGCACGTGCAGTTTAAGAAAGCCCGGTACACAAAATAGCGACGCCCCTTTCGTAGAACTTGTCTTGGTCAGTTCTAAAGTTGAGGGTTTCAACGAGAGTGGTGCGAGTGTTGTTGAGATACACAGGCAGGGTGATCTGGGGGTTTAGTTAGTTATCTATTAAATTATATATTAAATTGCATATAATATAAAGCGATTATTTATGTCAACTTTAACCATGAAGTGGATTCTGGTGGAGAGGTGGTACTTATTGCTTGACAGTCATACTGATTTTGGGATTTCATTGGTCAATAGTGAAAGCTGATTGGTTAATTGCTGTCATGTGTCAAAAAACCGTGCCTCTCCTCCCAACCATATAAATGTTAAATTCACATCTATTAAATATAAAATCACCTGTTTGCCGGATATCTGAATATCCTGGTCCCTGACCCAGCTAATCTTAGTGTACACCAGATCCGTCATGATGTCCTCAGTAATGGTTAGCTTCCCGTCACTGTGCATCGCCCCCATCAGCTTCAGACCGGATATTCCAAAGCTGCTGTTGTCCAGCTCAACTGGAGCGTTGTGAACGGAGACCTGAGTTAGTTTGGGGTCACGTCGCGTGGGTTACTTTGAAGATTTCAGTTATCAAGATTGGGAGAATATCAAGATGGGGGGGGGGGGGGGGGGGGGGGGGGGGGGGGGGTGTGGAAACGTGTGAGAATTAAGTTTGATCTCGGACCTTCGAGATTGAACAAGATAGACTCCTCAAGCAAATGTTGTTAGCGTGCACTGTATGGCGGGTGTACCCACGCGCTTATTTACAAGTACGGACGTGCCCATTTGCACGTGCAGTACAAACCTGTAGTTTGAGTTCCTCAAGAGAATATCCCTTACACTGAGCCACAGACTGTCTTGTAGCAGTGAAGTAGGCTTCTTGCGAGAATAGGCCGCCTGATAATATGGTCACGTTAAATGTGAAAGTTAACGTTTTGATGTTGCTATTTGTTACCACACTTTCACTTTCACTTTAAAATTTAAATCAGTGTTACCACACTTTCGCTTTTATTATAAATATTCGTATTAGCTGTCGATTCAAAATCTATTCAGCGCTGATACTTAACATAAATTGAATAACATCAAAATGCATAATAATCCATCGGTAAATTAACAAAAAAGAACCCTACAACTAATTGGCTACGAAAAAAATATACATTTAAAAAAAAAAACAAATAAATAAATAAATAAAATTTACCCAGCCAAACGGACATCTCCTTCAGGGCAGTCTGGCCCTTCTGTGCTGCCTCTACAATCGTTTGTAGCTGTCTGATCCTCTCGGAGAAGTCAATGATCCAGGGGTTAATGGTTACCCCTGGTACGTTGTATCTAAGCCACGATTTAGGGACTATTCCCTTCTGTAGGTCTGAGAGGAGTCCACGTATGTAGTTTGTTTGCTTCTTTTTCAGATCACATACCTGGTAGAAGAAGGGTTTAACGTTTTTGTAATTAGTCTTCTTATCTTTAAAGGGAGTGCCGTGTTTATAAGCATATCTGGAAGCTAATGCAGGATTTGGAGTGCTCAATAAATTATTATATCACTGCGCGGAAAAGGTAGGGTGAAGTGTGAACGTGCAATAACGAGCAGTACTTCGAGCGCACACGCAGAACACTGACAGCGCACGTATAGAACGCTGACAGTGCACGTGCAGAACACTGCACAGTGCACGTGTAGAACACTTCACAGTGCAGAGTGCACGTGCAGAACACTGCACAGTGCACGTGCAGAACACTGCACAGTGCACGTGCAGAACACTGCACAGTGCACGTGCAGAACACTGCACAGTGCACGTGCACGAAATTCTTAGCACCAACCTGAGAGATATCGTTGAGATCAGTAAGAACAGTTTTGAGGAGGTTACGTCCAATAGTGCACTCCCGTTCAAAGAACCGATAAAGTGGATCCTTGATGTTCTCGACTGTTCGTTTTAGCGTAGCAAGCTCCTCCTGTAGAAGTTAGGTTAACATTTCTGAAATACGAGAGTTAATTTATAGTTTTCACTAATTACAACACTACAAATTTATTACATTTATTGGGTATTATGTAACGTGATGGAAACCCTGGCTCAGTAACATGAAGGCTTCGTTTTAATATTAAAAAAAAAGCTCTAATACTAGTACAGGGTGGCCCAAAATAACTAGGTTAAATTGTGAAAAACAACTTGAAATTTTGGGAAAGCACTTCAATTATCAAGCCATATGTGTCTAGAAACTTTGAAGTTCCTAGCTGAAAGCGTTCCCACTTTATGGTGACAATAGTGAAAAAGAGGGAGTGGCGTGCCACACCAACTGTAATTAATTAAATTTGACGAAACTTTCAGTAAATCTACATATTATGTTTGTCCCATATCTACAATCTCTGAAATTTCTGTGCAATTATAAGAAGAAATACGTGAGTTATTAAAGGGTTGCGTGTGGGCAGTTACTTCTGGACCACCCTGTAGTAATAGTATAGAATTATTCTTTGGCTTTACGAGAACAGTGAATCCTCGGTTTATAGTTGAATTAATAATACTCAGGAGTACAGATCCCAGTTCATTTTGTAACGGAGTTTTATATTAACAGGAAACGATGTAACAGAGTCGATATATTTTAATGTTGCCATGGGGTGGCAAGTCCCCATACAATACATCGTGGTCCGGTAGTTTCATTGCGTCCGAATATATTTGTTGTAGTGTCTGGTTACTGGTTTTATGTGCATGTGACTAGTGCATACATGCAGAATTGAAACTAAATATGTGGCTGGGAATATTTCTTTATGTCCCAGCAAAAGGGGAATCGCTTCAATTTAACCAGCAATAAATTTAACAAGTAATAGAATTTTATCAATTTTATATCAATAATAATTGTATATCAACATGAACTAAATACTAATTTATCTTCTATATTTTTTTTTCTATGCTACAAATATATATATTTCTCTTCTATACTAAATATGTTGACAGCGATATCTAGAAATTTTTGATTAATACCCAATATAACAGGTTAATCACAAATAAATGTTCAATCAGATATTTTTTGGTGTATGATGTAAAAACAAAAATCGACAAGCTACCATGATATAATATGAAAACAAGGATGGCCATAAATAGAGTTTCTGGATGAAAAAAACCATTGAAAAGTGGATTCCAGGGTCACAGTTCTTGTTGCGAGTAGTATCAATTCCTCCAACTTATTGCGTAGTCTTTAAAACAAGATATTAAAGCTGTCTTGGTATCAATCTGAACTTTCTTTCAAAGTTTCATCATTTATTTTGTGATCCATATTTAACCAAATCCAGTTCAGCCAGCTTTTCACAAACAGCCTCCTGAGGCTTAGCAGCTCCAGCGTTAGAAATAGTATCAGAGTTCTCGTACATCATAGTTGCACCGGGGTAAGTGGTCCATTTATCATCAAACTTCTTATCCCGAGAAAACCTCTTTACCATCTCAATGTAATGTGATTGGAACTTTATGTCCATGTTGGTAATAGTAGGCGGTTCTATGCCATCTGATTCATACCCGAAAAAGGCATATGAATCATAAGCATGGAAAGGTGCGAGAGCAAACGAAGGGCTATGACTGACATAAAGTCTGTAGATATCCCGGTTAGTTGCAGCAGACATACCCTCTGCCACATCGTTGGAAGGACATGTTGCTCTCATGTCAGTGGTCATGTGAGTCCATATCATGGTGGGGTCTTGGTCAGGGTACAGGGCTATAACTGTATCCATCACATTTTCAACATTTGAGATCTCTTCGATGAGTGGTTCCAGTTTAGCTTTCAGCTGATCTTCTGTGTTAAATGGTGGTACAAACGGCCACAACCACACGTTGTATGTTTCCGCAGCTGTGTTGGACACTATGATGGAGATAGGTGAAGTTGGGGTGAAGTCAGCCTCCTTCAGATCCCGGGGAGATACTGTAACCACAGTTGGATCCACCATGATAAGTCCTACATACTCACCTCTCTCCCCCCCAGACATAGGAAACTCAAAGTAAGCCCCCCCACTAGTCATGTTCACTCCTCCTTTCCCTGAGAACTTATTGGCTGGGATGTCTAACAGACATTGTTTCCGACCTGCAAGATCTTCTTGCGTGCACCCGGCTCTGTCAAGCAGCTCTCTCTGAAAATCATTTCCTTGTTCGTGTGTGAATCTCATCTCTGGAGCGGGGCTTTGGGCGATAGCTGCGTGGAACTTGTTGTTAGCTAGCGGGGATGAGACTAGAGCAAGGACAGCTGTGGCACCTCCACTCTCACCAATCAGGGTTACTGAGCCAGGGTCTCCTCCAAACGCTGCGATATTATCTTGTATCCAGTCTAAAGCTGCGATCATATCTCTGATACCGTTATTAGCATAAACCCCTGCTTCCTCATCCCACAGCTCCTCCACTGAACTGAAACCAAGGAAGCCCAACCTGTAGTTAATGTTAACAGTCACAGCATCAACCTTATGGGTAATCTCAGAATCAAAACTGTATCCAACTGCCTCCCCATACCCAGACATTAACCCGCCACCATGGATCCATACAAGCACAGGTTTGGACTCCGTCACGTCACTAGACCGTACAGTTAACACCAAACAATCTTCAGTCCCCTCCCCCGAATCAGCCTGGATACACGTGATAGCAATGTCATCTTTTGCTTTAACCTCCTGTCCTGGGTCAGATATCATGTGCCTAACTGGAGGTCTGAACCTTGACTCTCCTGTAGGCGGTTCAGCGTAACGTATATTGTGGAACTCGTGGATTTTTGTGTTTCCATCGTTTAGGGTTACTGTTTTTCCAATGACCTTCCCCGCACTGGTTGTTCTTACTACGATGTCGTTGTTCTTGTAAAGGAGGAGGATTAGGAGGATTATTGCAATTGAGACGGCCACCAAGAAGACGAGAACTACGGACAGTATCTTACAGTTTTTCTTCATTTTCGTCTTTTTGTCATGTGTATACTGTGTGGAGGGGAAATGTATTGTTAATATATAACAAATAACAATGTTATTTGAGTGGAGGGAATTTTATTCTAGATGTAAAGGCAGAAAAGAGGGTGGGAAAATGCAAAAAAACACACAAAAAAAACACAATGAAAACACAACGAAAACTCAAAGAATACAAAGAAAACAAACGAAGACGCAGCCTACACAAAAGCATTTATAAAGCTGACAAGCTGGCTGAATACTCTAATAGGAAGTAATTTGCCAAATTGGAATTTAACATGATACTATCGTCGTGATTAATTATACGAGCTTGTGATCTGATGAGGGAAGAGATTTACCTTGTATGGTAATAAACCTTACCTTATATGGTAGTATTACCATTGAAGCTAAATTAGGTCATTTGGAAAATTGGAAAATAACAGGTTTTCACGCTGTAATTCATTGGAAGAGATCGTGATTATAAGAATAACATGTTGAAAATTACATCCCCAAAATATAAGCTGATTACAGCTCAGAAATTGTACCGTTATAACAAACCAATGCCAGCCACAACCCTTCACTTACAACGTTTTATCAGGCACAGCTAAACTATGAAATACTAAACTATGTACATAATAATATAATATATAACCACTAACCAGTCATCAAAACACTGATACTTAGTCAACATACTCAGCCCCATACAGTCACCAAGCGCTGTAGATCACAGCGACAAAATCAAGCTAATTCCAGAAAATCAAACGATGCACGTACCACTATTTCCAGTCAAAAATGAGCCGGATTTAGTCGAGAATGACCGGGATAGTGTTTCAGCTAACGACCGTATCATGTGCTAACACAAATATTATCTAACACTGGCTGATTCAGATGGGGACGAGACTACCTAGCACGTGACACAAACCGCCAAAACACGTGCTAACCACGTGCTAACCACGTGCTAACCACGTGGCACGTGCTAGCTCTAAGTTGTAGACGGGCTGGTAGGGCTGGTGTTCGGAGCACCGCACAGAATCACAACTTGTGTGAGAGCTGTGAGTGGAACAGGTGGGACGGGAGTGTTGTTAAGTCTTTAAGTAAGTTACCCAGCAACACTGGTAACTGGATACTGGTTAGTAGATTAATTGATGGTTTTGTACCACAAATGTGTCGCTTCTATTTCACAGTTTCACGGTCTCTGATCATTCCCTTTCGATTGTTTGAATCAGTAGCCTAATAGAACATTCTTGACTAAAATTCATTGGTCTAACCCTAAAGTGGTGTCAAGACTCAAGAGACTAAAATAATTATTACCTATTTAATTCGCGTTTTTGACACCACTTGGCGGTCCACATTTTGGGCACTAAAATTCTCATTCCTTGGCCAATTTTTTATTCTTTCATGCTGATTTGAAGACCATATAAGCTTTTGAACCAGTCAAAAAGTTCAAGTTTGCGGAAATTCGTGTTAAAGTTGATGCCGTGGTGTCAGTAAAATGGTAGGGATATTTATTATATATCGTCTCGCTTTATATATAGTAAGCTATATTCGAACATTTAAAATATAATTTGGAACATTACAGTAACGTTATTCAAATCTCAAACAGAAAAAAGTATATTTCAAAGCTTTGTGTTTTGATCATATGATCATGAGTGTATAGTGTATAGTGATTTGAACGCTTAGACACGTTTTCCTTTTTTTTCTTATCATAAAATAAAAGCAATATCGAGAATATTTCGGAAATAAATCTAAGATGAAAACAACACCTACAATACAAGATACAAGGGCAGTTTTTTCCCGCAAGTTGGGATGGCCTGAGGTGTTTATCTCCTTTTCCTTTCTCAAGACATGATAAAGTTAACCACATGGACAGCCCTGACTGTAGCAGTTTTTGCTGTTTTGTTGATTTACAGCCTCAGCGAGGCCTCGTAAGTACATTCTTAAATTATAAGTTTCCATTTACAATGAAACCCGAATTTACCAGACCCGAATTTCCAGCTCATTTTCCCTTTCTCCCAAACTCTGCAGTAAATCGGGGTAAAATTACTGTACATAGGAC